GATATAAATAGGAGTCAGATTCCAGATGGGGAAAGATCGGAATTTTGGGCTAAAATATCGATTCAATCGCGGACATAGATCACACAATTGTGGTCAATAAGAAAATCCAAGCCTAGAACGATAGGCCAAGAAGCAATGGGTGTAACTAAGACACAGTGTATAACATGAGTCACAAAACGAGAACGGCAACGAAACAAAACCGGAGATAGCAGCCTAAGTGCCGCTAGCGGCCTGGAGAACACGACGCCAACGGACCGGCAACGACTGCCACCAATTTATCGTCCAAGTTCAGCAAGACGGAAAAACTCCGGCTGACGGGAATCAGTTCGAGTGGTTCTGGATCTGTGGGTCGCAGTTCCCCAAAAATCCTTCGTAAAAAAAGAGCCCGTCTGATCCTACGGGGTGGCAGAACTCCTGAAAAGATTGTTCATGGTCAGATAATGGAGTAAATGGTGTTTGCTCTGAATTATCGAGAACGTAAAGCGTTCTCAGGGACCAGTTATTTATTTGTCCGACGTCTCTAACTCTCACGCGAAACCACTGTCAAGTAATGAAGAATATCCGGCAGTGACCTTGACATCTGCCTTCGATCTGTTCGCGCAAAGGGCGACAGGCATCCAGAATACCGATATGTTCAGTAATTGAGTCAGGACATGAATACAATGCTTCCCGTAGCAGGCGTGGTGTTCGGTCGCCCGACTGACCCATTATTCGCATGTGGTCGAAGTGTTTGGTTGTAGTATAATAAGTATGACGACGGAACACGGGCATAGAACGGGGAACTTATCAGAGCCGAGGTGGTGTAACAAGATCCAAAGGAACAAGGTCCTAAAAACAAGTAAAGAAACATTCACAACCGAAATAATGATTCAAACATAAATGATCAAGTTTGGATAGGTACAATACCGCAATCACGACATGTCGCGATAGCGCATTGCACGCACTAATCAGCTAATCGATTTTATCAAACTGTGTTCTCATCGGCCTACGTGCCAGTTGTGCCCCTTGCGCAAACGCACGAGGAGCGCTCTGCCATGGCGCACGCACGTGATTGTATTGCTGAATGAATTTCTGATGTTCTTGTCTTTGTACATAAGCTTATTTTACCTTTAGGCACCTAACCTTAACATTTTTCCACCTAATCTTCTAGTATGTCTAAACAGGTCAACAGGAGGACAGTTAAGAAGCGTTTTGTGCGAGAAATATCCCGTGAAGTTACTAAGGCAAGGAACTTTTTCAGTTCTAGACGCTTCAAAGTGGATGAGGGGGACATACCTGGTCCCTCAGACAAATATAGGTGGATCGATTTACCCGAGGGCGAACTCGATACGTTTGTTTGCTCATCAGACAGCGACGTTGCTGAGTGGATGTCATCTGACGAAAAGTAAATTAGTATATAGAATTATCCCCGTCGCAGTCTTCTATCCAGGATATGGTGAGGGAATGGGCTATGCGCATAGCCCATACCTTCCTACGTAGTATTCTATAAATTTCCAAGTCTGTCGTCCCAGATATGCCAGCTGGCCCACAAATGTTGCTGGGGGCATCATGTATTTATCAGGTAAAGATATAGGTAACGGTGAGGACGTTCAATAATCAATAATAATCAATTTAAGCGACTCCTGGAGAAGCCTATGATACAGCCGGGTCCAGAAAATGTTAATCTGGCCATAGATTGAGTGCAGTGTTTCATAAGACTTACGTCGAACTCTGATCTATTTTGCGATTCCCTTAAGTTCGGAAGTATGCCCAATTTGAAACCTACAAGCAAACAATAACATGGCATAGCCTACGTTACTGAGTGTACGAGATGTACCGTACAGCAGCAAGCAGAAGCAGTCAATGCCTCCAATTGTCTCTTTGTGATGCAACCCCCAAGTACAGAAGACATTTTCTAGAGTTTGCGCCCTTCCAAAAGTCGAAGAGATCTAGCCACGGGCGAGTGCCACAACTGGCACGCAGGTCAATAGGAGCACACCAACAAAATCGATTAGCCAGTGAACACACGCTGTATCCTACCTCGACATGCCGTGATTGCAGTACATACATGCTATGCCGACTGCCTTTGGGGAACTGACCATCCTCACCACCATGGTAAGATTCTGCCATTTGATGAAACTGCTTTCAGTTGTAGTGCACTCATCACTAAAACCTCTAAGACAATGGACATAAGAGATTCACAGAAAGCTCGACATCATCGGCAGGTGGATAGTCAAAATGATCGATGGTTTCTTACTCGCCTACGCAATGATGATGCAACGTTGCATGCATCTGGTACACCAGAGCGTCCAGGAGTCTACAATCGCTGAGAGACCCGATATGTGAGTTACAGTTACTCGTACATACTATTTTTATCATGCCTTTCTTACATTTCAATAAAGTTCTCTCATGAATACCTGTCATTCGCTTCAG